TTTATTATTATAGTTTCTCTTTCCAAGACTATTCATAGTCATTCTTGGTGATTTTTCAAAATACAAGCAGATAAATCATCAAACAGCATAGTCACTTGATTCTTTTCTGTTAGTGGATTTTTGTTATTTTGTTTAGCTTTTCTTTTTGGTTTCTTCATAGGATTTCCATCCCCCACCACCACCACTTTCTGCTTACATTGCCCATCTGTGCTTATATACTGTCTACTTTATGCATCAGAGCCCTTAGTTTATTAATCATATTTGTTTTAAATTCCTGGTCTAATTCCAACACTCTTGTTCTTTCTGGTTCTGATGTTTGCACTGTCTCTTCAAATTGTGTTTTTTTTTTTTTTTTGCCTCTTGATAGCTGGATATGTTGTATCAGGTAAAAGGAACTGCTGTAAATAGGCCTTTAGTGATGTGGGGTGAGGTGTGGGAGGAGGGAAGCATTCTATAGTCCTGTGATTAGGTCTCAGTCTTTTAGTGAGCCTCTGCCTCTAGACTGAACTTCACAAGTGTTTTCTCAGTTTTCTTCTGCCCCTTTCAGTGGGACAGGGTGGCTACCAGGGACTAGAGCTGGGTATTTCCCTTGCCTCAGGTCAGTTAGGCTCTGATAACAGAGGCTCAGGTTAGGCTCAGGCTAGATAGTTTCCCATGAGGTCGGGCCTTGTGTAGAAAAACCGAGTGCTCTGATGTATCTCAAAATGGTTCCTTTTCCCCCCATCCTGCTAGAAGCACAACGGGAATCTTGCTAGGTATTTACTGTGGGAACCTAGTCAATAGTCAAGCTCCTGAAGGTAAATCTCACAATATTATGGGGGGCCCCCATGACTGGGTCATCCTTAAGTTTTCAACTGTCAGAGTTATCTACAAAGAGACTCCAGCAATTCATCAACTACAGTTTGGATTTTCCTACCCAGGACTGGTTCCCACAGTGGTTACTGCTTGTTCTCTGCTCAAGGAAACCATGACTCTTTGTGTTCACCTGTCTCTGCAGTCCTGGGGGCAGTGGTTTGTCCTTCATTATCCCCTCTTACAGATCCAAGAAGAGTTATTGCTTTTTCAGTCTATTAGTACTGAGTACAACTTTCAAGCTTCTTATATGCAGAACCAAAGAAGCTTTAATTCCTTAACTTCATCACCTCCAAACACTAATTACTCAAACTCATTTTACACTGTGGACTAACCTGGGACCATGTAATCACCAGTAACTGCACTACCTGTGAAATATCAATTTGTAACACCTTACTCAGTTTACCACCTCTTATCCACCCAACTCACTTTGGTTTGGCAATACTCTTTAGCCTCTTAGTGACTTCCCATCATTGACCACCCACAGCCCCACACACTCCTTTTAATTATCTGTACACACTCCCATGTTTACCCAGTTGAATTTCATGGTTCATCATTGTAACCACGACTTTTCAAGCACAGTCAACCGTCTGTCTTGGCTCCCATCTCTCTCCAACTCCCTTAACAAAACCCCAAACCCCTTGAATTATTTGGTTCATTGTGCAGAGATCCAAGCAACTTAAAAAGAAATTATGCAATTAGCTGATTGTGTTTCTTTAAATTCATGACCACAGGGCGCAAATGTCTGCTCAAGCCAACATGGTAACCCTACTATGGTTCCCTAGGAAGCTCTTCTCTACATTCTCTGAGGTAAAGATGTCATATTGTTTTCTGTTATCTCAGATTCCTCCACTCTACCTATTTTTGGCTGATGATCCTGCTCTGTAATTCATTGGGAATACAGAAACCATCAGAGGTTTACTTCATTTTCATTCCAACAAGTATTTAAAACCTCCTTGCATCTGTACTCACTGGTCTTCTCAAGCTTCTTTTCTGCTAACCTTGAAAGAGTGTCATTTTTTCTATTGTGGGCAGTTCCAACTCTTGACACCTATATTTTTTCTTCTCAGTATTTTGCTTCTTCAGTTATTCCCATTTGTCTGTTACACATCAACAAATCTTCATTCTTTGCTTATTATTCATGCCAGTCTACCAACACATATTAGGATTTTCTACTTAAAAAAAACTTTGACCTCCTCCATCTACAACACCTTGCTAACCTTTCCACAGCAAAAGTTAAACATATACACATGTACAGTTTTTGTAAGAAAATTATATGGAAGGTTCATAATAAAGACACATTCCCCTCTCCTGCCCCTCTCCACTCCCAACTACCTTCATTTCTAGCTCTTCGTTTTGATATTTATTTCTACATTTCCAATATGCTTTTACTGTTTTTGATTAACCTATTTAGACAGTAATGCCTGGCAAATGAAGACCTCATATGTTGTTACTTTTACCCCCCAAATTTATCTTGATTCCATCTTCTCCACATCTCCAGAGCTGCTACTCTAATCCTAACAGCCATTATATACTAGAAGAGAGTATAGAGAGCCATTTCAACTCTTGCTACTATTATCCATTTTCTACATTTTCTAGCAGCTAGGAAAATCCTGTATAAAGTAAGACTATGGTATTCTTTGGTGTAAAAAATTTCAATGGTATCCTCCATGTTTGGAATTATCCCAAAATGCTTTCCACAGCCCACAAGGCTCCAGATCGGAAGTTCCCTCTCTCTTCAATCTAAAATTAACTACTCACTATGCTTCAGCTATACTTGCCTCCTTCAGTTCTTCACTTGTAACACTTTCTGATCTTGGGGCCTCTGCACTTCTGCTTTCCCCATGGTTTTCCCTATGGTAGGCTCCATCTCATTCTTCCAGTTACAGCTCAAAGAAGCCTTCTCTGACTGCTCTACTGCTCTTTCCATTTAAGTATGTCTTTCTTTACTTTGACATAACTCTTTCACAGAACCCATTACAATTTGTAACCTTATTTCCTTATTCATCTGTCTCTCTTCTCCGCCCCCGAAGCAGAGCATCAACTCTATGTGAGAAAAACCTTGGTCCATCTTAATACTGTTTTCCGTGTACCTAGCCCAAGGGTAGGCATGTAAAGAGCATCCAAGAAACATGGATTAATTCAGTAATATGTGGACTAAATATAAATTTAATAGCTCAACTAAAATATATATTGTAACCATCAGGAATGGCTAGTAAATAATAGGCCCTTGAAATCTTATAAGGCATGAGTTAATTTGCCCAGGTATTAGAAAATCCGTTTTTTTATAGTTATTTTGTCAGTTATTAGAAAACCTTGCTGCACCCAGTTTGGATTCTTTTAGAGTCTTCCAGGGCCATTCCTGAGTAGGACACCAATATTCTTCATTCGGGTCAAAGGTACCCAGTTCTGGTTGGTTCAGATTCTTTTGAGGGGTTGAGATACGTCTGTGGTCTGAGCCTACTTTGGGTTTTTATTGCATGCAACTGCTCTACTGTGGAGGATTGCCCACCAATATCCTTTTCGGGAGATTCCTTTTGTATTTAGTTAATGCTGAAGACCTTAGTGGGTCAGGTTTCTCCTTAAGTTGTCAATTCTTCTGGACTTGTTTCTTAGCAACAGCTGGGACTCGGCCAGTCCTCATTGTTCTCTGCTTTAGCCTCAGAGCAAACAAGAGAAAAAGTGGGCATGGTAGCTTGCAGTTTGCCATTTAGTAATATTCCCAGACACAGTGCATTCCAATCCTAGTGGCTATTGATAGACAATGGGAAGGATCTTCACACTTTTGTGAGGCATGTAAGGGAACCAGCAGTGAAAAATGTTTTTAATGGGAAGAGGAATTGGAGTTTCTTAATAGCTTCTCCTTGAGAGTCCTATTCCTATTAAAATTTCACCTGGTACTCAATGTAGAAATTTGTGTTAGAAGCAAAGTGGCAAAAAAAAAAAGAAAAAAGAGTCATGTTGCACTTCAATGAGTCCCTTGAGGAATTTCTTGATCTGGTTATATATTCTCAGACTAAAGGCAAATTGGCTTCTAATAATTGTCAAATCTGCTAAATTTGGCACAAGTAGCCAAATTTGCTCCAACCTACTTTGAGAAATTTAAAATCTCTTTTTCAATGTACTTTTAAAAACTCCACATACCAAAGCACTTGACATTTTTTATATGTGTCTACCAAGTTCTTTGATGTCCAACTCAATGATATAGTCTGAGACACTACTGGAGAAAGCCTGGGTAAAAGATTCCCTATTGCACAACACAAGTTAACAGACATTTCCATCTTAGGACAGGTAGGAAAAGCTTTATTGCCTGCTATGCTATATTAATTCAGCTAGTTTGTTTCTCTGAGTTCTATTATTTGCAACCCATTCAAACTCAAACTGGAGCAGGACTCTTCGAGTTGCAATTGGCTGAAATCTACTTAAACCAGCTTAAGCAGACATGAAATTTTATTATAAGGATAAATTATGATAAGTAATTCAAAGATAGGGAGCAGGCTCAACCTTCTCAAGGGATTGAGATCAGGAACTGGAAAGCTATCAGGAGCCAAGGCAGCTATTATATCTGTGTCTGATATGTCAGCACATTTCATCAAAGCAGACTTTGGAGTCAAACTGCCTGGGTTTTACTTTAGCTTAAGCACTTTAATTAAGCTTCTCAGTTTCCTTACCAGTAAAGTAGGAATAATAGTACCATCCTCAGAGTTAAAACGATTCGAACACTGAATGACATGTAAGTAATCTGAGATTATCCTTGTTTAGCAACACAACTCTCATGAGCCACATGCTGCTCCCAAACAAGGTAGCCCTGGCCTAACTTTGTTTCTTAGAACAGATTAGTTGTCCAATAAACTTTCTCAATCCCAGTTTTATATTCTCAAGACAATCTGATTGGTCTGGATAGGGCTCAGTTCATCCTAGCTAAAGTGAGAGGCATTAAGTCACCTCATACAAAGCTCTAAGGCCCATCATTGAATGTCTGTGGATATTTCTCAGTGGTAGGGAATCATGAAGACTAAAAATTTTTGTAAAGTGGGTATTTTTCTATACTTTTCTCAATTCATTGATCTTTTTTCTCCCACAAAAAGTCACAATGTGACTTGTCCAATGTCACATAACTAATAATGGATGAGGCTGTGTTTCAAAACTGACTCCAAACTCAAAATTTATTTTCATTAAACAAATGCATTAGAGTTGTTTATATTTTTTGAGAACATATTAGGTAGCTGGCCCTGTAGTTAACCAACCACCTGAGATATAAGACTTCAAGTGGTTCAGAATTAGGTTTCCTAGTTTTTCTCCCCCTAATTTTCAATGTTTAAAAAGTGGGGTATAACATATATACAGTAAAGTTCGCAGAACTTAAAAGTTGAGCTTGTCAAACTTTTTCATATGTATATGAACATGTAACAATCATCTAGATCAAGACAGAACACTTCCATCATTTCACAAGGCTCCCTTATGCTCCTTATAAGTCAATAAGGAGCCGAGATACCATGCTGAGAGATAACTATTACCCTGACTTCTGTCATCCTAAGTTTTGTTTGTTCTTGAATTTCATATAAATGGAATTATGCAGTATGAATTCTTTTGTGTATATTTCACTCAACACAATGCCTATGAGATCCATCCATGTTATTGTGTGTAGCAGTTTATTCTTTATTACTGCTAGATGGTAGTCCATTGTATGAATATACATCACCTTGTTCCAGTTTACTATAATGAGAATCAAACTGCTAAGAACATTTTAATACAAGACTTTTAGTAGACATCTGCATTCATTTCCCTTGGATCAAAGAGAATTCCAGGCAGGAAACTGCTGAGTTACAGGGTAAACCTATGTTCAGCTATAACAGATGGGGCCTATCAATTTTCAATTTTCACATGGCTGTAACCAATTTATACACCCACCAGCAATAAGAGTTTGTTGCACCATAATTTCTTTTTTAACAAAGAAAATAACATAATCAGTCTATTGTATTAATCACATTTCTTAGTTTTACAAATATATTTTATTTGAGGCTTTTTTTTTGCTGGTCACAAGCATGAGTGAGTTTAGGCTAACTTGTTAGGTAGAGCAGACCCTCATTTATTAGCACCTTTACCAGAACACCAACTTTAACCTGTTAAGATCGCACTTAAAAATACAACTTAGCCCTATTAGGTCTTTGACAAGATTTGACAAGATAAGATAGACAAGATATGATAGAAAACATAACTCCATCATGTTTTCTAACTAAACTAAGTGCTTAGGTGTTGGTTCTCAAATGCTAGCAAACTTATTATACCCATGAGTTCTACTCCTTGGTAGATTCCCTACAGAAATGCCTATATGCATATATAAATAAAGTACAAATTCAAGAATGTTTGGCAGCAGCATTATTCACATTAGTTCAAAACTGGAAATAACCCCCAAAACTTTCAATAACAAATAGATAAATATATTGGATGAAAGAAGCCTGACACAAAAGAATATGTATTTTAGTATCCATTTACATAAAGTTCAAAACCAATAAAATTATATTATTTAGTCATGCATATTTGGGTAGTGTAACTATAAAGACATGTAAGAAATTAAAAAGTCATAAAAGTCAAGATAGTAGTTAGCTTTCTGGGGTTTTGATTGGAAAGGGAATGTGCCAGGCTTTGTTGGTGGAGAGTGAGGAGGGAGTGTTTAGGATCTGTTTCTTGATTTAGGCTGTTGTCATGAATACATTTGCTTTAAAAAATGTATTAATCTGTATCTCTGTGCTTTATGCCCCTTTCTGTGTGTTATTTTCACAATAAATAAATACAGTTTTAAACAAACAAAAAAAAGCCTACTACTTAGCTTCCCATTCTTTACAGTAGGATTTCTCAGCAAATGACATTATCACCATTTGGGGCCAGACGGTTCTTTGTTCTGGAGGCCTGTCCAGTGCCCTGTAGGACCTTGAGCTGTATCCATGGCCTCTACCCACTAGATGTCAGCAGCACCAGCTCCCACCAACACCATCCATTGTGACAACCAAAAATGTTTCCAGGTTTTGCCAAATGTCCCTTGCAGGACAAAATCTCCCACCCACACCATTAATAACCACTATTTTCAAAATAAGTGTCCTGGCCTTTCCACACTTCATCTGTTATGATTCAATGCAGCATTAACACAATATCCATAATTTTTCAATACCAACAGCACATTAGAGTAATCTTTTGGAAAGGGGACCATTTTTTTGAACAATGTTTATATCAAGGCCCCACCTCATAATAATGGAATGGAATCTCTGAGGTACAGCTTGATTATTTTTACTGCAAAGCTTGTAAGGCAATTTAAAATTTTGACACAGCAGAAAATTACCTTTCTAACATATAACCCTTCTCAGGAATATTTGCTTAAAATAAATACTTACCAAAAATTTCTCAAACATTAGTAGAGCATGGGGCATATATTTGGGGAGTAGAAGGCTCAGAGAAACTCTCAAATCACATTAATTAAGTGACCACCTATAACCATAATTATAAACATTGGTATCTAATAATCAGTTCCTGATTTTAAAAAATTTATTTTCCCAAATCAGACTTTTAAAATATTCATTTATTTCCTTTTCTGCATAAGTATTAATCCTTCCAGATAATTCATGTAGCTAACTCTTCTCTAATACATTCAACTTTTCTCCCAAAAGGACATGTTCCATCATCTTTTAAACACTTTAAGTCTTTCACCTAACAAATAAAAATCCACAACTCCCACCACAAAACAATTCATATTACCTCCCAAGTCAAAATCAAACCTGAGAGATATTTAGACTTATTAACTCCATTTCTTCATTTATCATATTCCACCACAATTTGGATTCTGGCTCTGTTATTCTAACAAAATAGTTTCTGCTACAGTAACACATGACCATCATGTTACTAAATCTAGTAGATATGATTCTGGTCCTATTTCATATGGCATCTCAACAGCACTGTCCACTCTTCACCATTCATTCCTTGAAGCACTTAACGCCTTTATCCTGCATTGCACAACACTCTCTGATACCTGCAACTCCTTATCTGGCTCATCTTCCTCTACCGAGCCAAACATTGAAGTTCTTTATTGCACACTCCTAGGCTATCTTCGAAATCTATTTCGTGTATATTCAGGACTTTAATTTCTCTCTACACACTTAACAGTTTTTATTTTCCATCTAGATCTCCCTTCTTAGCTCCAGACGGCTATCCAAAAGCCTCTTAGATGATTCAAAGGCAATAGAAACTCAGTAAGTCCCAAATTTATGATCTCTCTACCTTCACATCTCCAAACATATTACCACCATTCAAGTGGATGTCATCACCATTTAGTTTCACTTCATTCTATAGTATATACACCTTCCCTACACCTCCTAACTCTGAATCCAATTGCATTAACAAATTCTATGGCCATTTCCTTCCAAATCTACTCTCTCCACTTCCATAAAACTATTCTGGGCCCATCAAATTATTTCTAATCTCTTAACCTCCTAATTAGTTTAAGAATATGTGTCTACTTTGATCTGTCTTTAACACTTTTTTTGAATTTACAGCTAGGGTAAATGTTTCAATTTGCAAATCCCATGGGTACTACCCAATTTTAAATCTTTCAAAGGTTTTCTTTTACTCTAAAGATAAAAACCTACTTTTTTATTGGCCTGTGAGCCCTGAATGGCCTGGCCCCACTGCAGCTTCATCTCCCTCAGTTTCGTCTGCTCTAGCAGTACTGCGCTTCAAGTTGTTGCTTATAGAATGACAATGTAATATTTCATCCAAACTGGGATATTTCTCAAAGTAAAAAAAGAAAGCTTATCCCTGGCTGAGATGTTAAATGACGCATCTCCCTGGCCCCAGATTTTCTGCCCATATTATTTTGTCTGGAAAAGCAGCTCTTCAGTTACTTATCTAATTCATACTAACTTTTCAGTTCTCAGATCGTGTCACTTCCCTTGGAGAGACTTTTCTAACTAGGGTTCTCCATTGAGTTTTCATAGCACTTTATGCTCCTTAATAGCATTTTTCTGCTATGGTTTTGCAATATCATTGTTTCCTGTACTGGACTTTAACTCTTGAAAGTGTCTGTTTTTGCTCTATTATAATCCCTCTCCCCCTGGCCCAACATAATGTCTGGAATGCAATATATTGCGTGAATATCAACATACTGCACTGGGGACACAAAGAGTCTACACTCCAGGGCTTACAATGTAGTATGGAAACAAATGCTTTATCACAATACAGTGATATGCTGCACATACAGAATACATGATTTGATGTCCTTAAAGGGAGGTGAGAGAGCTGCGTGACAGGTCTCAGTGTATAAGTACTATTTTGTCAGGGCACTCAAGAGTTCTTGAAAATTTACTTAAACCTACAAGAGACTGATTCATAAGATAGATGGACTATATTCATTTACAATGAGATACCTTTCCAGTGACCTGAAGAAATGTGCGGCTAGAGTGCCAAGTGTCTGCTAGAATTATGGAAGGCCATGCTGAGGTCAGACTGTGGAAAGACTAATCAAAATACTACATTTGCAAATATATATATGTAAATAGATGTATTTTAAAGCAGGGAAGTGATTTCATTAGATTTCAAGTCTGAAGGGTAAGCTGGAGGAAAAGATGTACAGAACATAGGGGCTAAATAATGAAAGTAGTAGGGATTAAGAAGAAAGGGTTAAGACAACATTTTGAGCTAAAATGGACAAGTAAATAAAGGATTTGGGAAAGAGGAATGATATAGCATCAATGTACCAATTTGGTATTTTGAGGATACCTACAAACCTTTTCTTATTCTGTGTACACACCTAATTATGTCAGTAGACGAAGCAGAATCTTTGTATCTACTTCAATTTCTATTAGATTTTATACAGTTGCCTTAGTATCATTTCTAAGAACTTTCCATTTGAAATTTAACTTAATGTAAATGAATTTATCAGTAAAAATCCCCACAGTGGCCATTAACAAGGTGGATGAGCTGTTGGTGGTATCGGAACAATCTAGGAATTTTCTCCAAACACTACCTTGAACCTAGAAATTCTGCCTATCAGGAGGGGAGGAATGGAAGTGTCAGACATACGTAATTAAGGAAAAATTTTCTAGGAGACTGTCTCCTGCCAAACCACAGCTCCTCTAATTTTTTATTCAGAAAACCAAAAAATGTGAAGTAAATGTTCACTGTAAGGTAACTTATGAGTTCATGGTTTCTATTTATAGAGGACTTTGTAAACTTAAGGATCATATTTAGAAAGCTCTTCCTCTGTTTGGCAAGGACCTGGGGGATGATGTCATAGGTTGAGATTCTAGGATATTTTAATACTGTCCTGTTTTAGCAGTTCTAGCATACAAATCCTCTAGTCAATAAAGATCATTATGGAATTAGAATCCTTTCTTAGAATTCAAATAGGAACAGAGCAAGAGTTACTGTCTTTATGTTACACATCTCACAATTCTGGGTAAGTGGTTCTCCATCTATCCCTATTGAAAAATACCAATATGTAACAAGCCCTAGTAGAGCCTATCAGAATTAAGTATCCACAAAGTGTTGTCCTAGATTTGGTAAAAGTAATATTCTTTACAAAGACTATGAAATGCCCCAAGTGGGAAATTAGACTGTAGTAAAGACTTTCTGGTTGATACTAATTTTCAGGGATTTTTGCTAGTCATGTGTTGAGATTATCAGCTATTGTTTTTAATATCAATAAGTAGAAAGTTTATTTAAACAAGGTCAAACTGAAAATTTAACTGTGCAGATAACAAATGGTTTTTACTTTTACTTCATTTATCCAGTAACTTTTTAAAAACTCAACCAGCAAGATTGTTTCAATTTTCTACTTACCTTGTATTTCATCACATTCTCCAGTCATTATAAAATTCTGTGATTTTATGACTTTACCAGAAATATAAATATCCAAGGTTCAATATTAAAAATTAAAAAAAAAAGTACAGCATTTATATTCAACACATCACATCCAAATGGCAAATTAGTAGTTTAAAAAAGTCTGACATGTGCTTTCAGAAAACATATAAAATGGATTAAGTCCATATAGTAAATCTTTTTTTGTAAGATAATGATAAAATATAATATAGTTACATTTGAAGACTTTACTATCTGAATCATACTATGGACTACAAAACTCTCTCTACCGTGGTTACTGTTTTTCTGGGGTTTTTATTTTTTACTTACTACTCCAATAATCCAAGAAAGAAATTAACTGGAAGTGCAGAAAGTTCCGATCATTAAGGCACCTTTAGTATATTTTTAAAGCCTAGTATTAAAAGTTAGCACTTAGCACACCTACTTTTAGAGGGTCTTCCGAAATGGAGATTTGTATGATCTTGTTATTCCTCACAACCCAGCCTTATAGCTAATGATTAACAACAGAAAAAGGAAAGAAAAAAAAAGAGGCTAAGCACAGATCACTTTGCAAACTATGGTAGTGTTCCATTTTGTTTCACTATTCACAGATCCCACTATTTTTTTAAGTGGACCACGTGTATCTGTTTGCTTTCCTCTATTCAAGGGGACATACATCTTACCACATAACAAACACATATTTGACGTTATGTTTTGAGATCTTCTTAAAGGCTTTGAACCAAACTGTTTCAACAGTTCCTAAACTAAGCCCTTAATATCTCCCCCATGCGAAAATAATTATTTTGGGGATGCAGCTACCCCGACTAACTTGACCTGGAAAGTGGGCCTTTACACCAAATAACTCAAGAATGGGAGTAGAAAATTTAAAAAAATGACTATTAACATTAACCTCGAGTGATTCAAGACTAATCTGTGGCCCAGAAAGATAATGAAGTGTTAAAGAATTTTGATTAAAAAAATGCTTTCATAATGAGCGCAGCGTGTCACCAGCATGCTTGAAAATAGTGTTTCCTTAACGCACAGAAAGGTTGTAACTGAGGCCCGTAGTTACAGTTATAAAAAAAAGTCAACTAAATTGCGGTACGCTAAACTGAAACAGTTACTAACGTCCGTCGACTTGCTTTTTTTGTTGTTGCGATTCGGCACCGCACCCTCCACCCCGCCCTTCAGGGAAGGACCTAGAAAGTTTTTTTTTTTTTTCTTAACCAGCCAGGGGTTACCCACAAATGAAGAAACGTCACAGGATGTCAACAACCCGGTCTCTATGTTTCTGTCTCCTCAGATGCCCCGCCCCCACCGAGGGAGCCTCTACCACAGGTCTCCTAGGCGTAGGAGGCGGCGGGAAGTGACCACAGTTGCCCAACAATTGGGTTCCAAGGCTGCCTGGTGTGACGCAGCAGCCCCTTCACCGGCCCTCTGGATCAGACGAGGCCAGAGGCCCGAGGGAGATGCGGGCGCAAGCCTGCGTGACCGGACCCCACGCACGACCCGGCTCTCTCGGTTTATCCAGTGTAGCCCTGCCGCAGCATCCCGAGCCCATCATATAGGCTTCAGACTGTCTCCAGCCCTCGCTTTCTCCGTTCCTTCTCAGCCTCTCCGCAGCGACGTCCTTGCGCAACGGTTCAGTGACAGTAGCGTCCATACCCGTACGGAGCGAGCCTGCAGCTCCCACTTCCCGGAATTCAACTCCCAGCCTCTAAGGGAGGGCGCAGGAGCAAGGATTCAGCAGCCCACAGCTGTGGCCAGAGGCCGGCGGCCTCCGCACGGCCTGCGTGCGCGCTCCCATAAGTGCGCGCGCACTCGCTCTCCGCCCCGCCTCGGCACCAATCGCTTTCTTCTTACACCCCACGAGTCCACAATGTAGTCCCGCCCACCGTCCGCGCGCCCTCTCTCCCGCCCCGCGCTCAGTGGGGAAGGGGAGTGAGTAGAGGAGCTTACGTCGAGCAGGAGGCGGAGGCGACGGCGACCTCGGTGGCGGCGGCGGCTGCGGCGGCTACGGTTGTGTTCGCTTTCTTGGCGTCATGGCGGCTGCCCGGAGCCGATAAGCGGCGGGAGCGGGAGCGCGCGCGTGGCCGCGGAGACGACGACAGTTCGTTACTTCTCGCTCGAGCTGCTCTCGCCGTTGGAGCTTCAATAATGAATTGATTGTTGGATCCGCTCCGCAAGGGATCGCGCGTTGGTGCCGCGGGCCGGGGCTTCCCCTTCCCCTCCGCGTCCTTCCCCTTCCCCTTTCCCCCTCCTCACGGACTCCTGCTTACCCCGAGACGCCCGGAGCCCGAGGACACACTCGGCGACGGAGACCGCGGGCCCGGGCGCGGGGCAGGCCGCCGATCCGAGTCAGCTCCCTCAGCCCCGCGAAGCCTGCACGCCGGTAAGAAAGGGGGCGGCGGGCGGGTCAGGATGTGGCGGGGAGGACGGGAGCCGGCCAGACGGAGGGCGGCGGCGGCGGCGGCGCGGTGCCCGGGCGGTGGCCGAGCGGTCGGGCGCCGGACGAAGGCCGGGCCCGGCTCGCGAGGGCCGGCGGTTGCGGACGAGCTCTGCGCGCAGGGGGCGTGTGAGTGGCGAGCGCAGGCCAGCGCCGCAGAGCGCATCCTCCGGACCGGCGGGCAGCTGATGGCCGATCCCGGGCCTCCGTGGCGTGGGACTGGCCGGGCCGCTAGTGGAGAACTGCGAGCGGCGAGCACTTGGCGGTGCGTGGGTCCCGCCGCGACCCGGGCTCCCTACACGTGGGGAGCGGCGAGGAGGCGGAGGGGGAGGGGGCGGCGGCGGCGGCCCGGGCCAGCCCGGGAGGGCGTGGGGCAGGTCTGCGGGAAGTTTGAGGCGGGAAGGGACACTCCGGGACCGGGATGGAGGCCCTGGGGAGATGGGGTTTGGCGGTGTGCGCGTCCCGGTGGGAGTCTGATTGGAGCGAAGCTGCCGTGGACGGCTGAGGAACTAGGAAGGTTTCCTACCTCCTTGGAGTGCCGTTTCGAAAACTTAGGAGAGAACCTACTGTTAAAAAGACGGAGCATGGAAGAGGTTTAAAGACTTAGGGGAGGGTCATTGTTAAGAGGTGTGAAAGCAGGGGAGAGCTGCTTGTGCTTGGAGCTTCAGAACTTAACGGTTGTGAGAAGGGTCTCAGAAAGAGGACTTAACTCAGAGAAGGAAGATGAAGAGGAAAAGGAAGTTACAATGTTCAGAGAAAGCCATTTTGAGGGACGAAAGGAAGGTGAAAAGGAAAACGAAAAGAGGAGTGAACTTTCTCAAGGAAGAGAGACTTACTGTAACAGGGAGGCAGTTTGTTAAGAGTGCCTAGATTTTTAAGACCTAATTGTTTAATAGTAAAGCTCTTGGACTAGTTGGAATTAATATTAACGTTAGGAATAAATGTTGCGTGTAACAGTTTACTGTTTGGATAAGCAGTTCTTGCATAGAGTACACTGGACTGTAGTCTCTGGAGAATTAAAAATCCTTGTCTAGATGCAGAGTTTGCTGTAATTGAGTTGCTAGTAGCCTATTTTCCCCCTCTTTTTTGTGTAATGGAAATAATCGTAGGAGTGAATTCTCTTTGCTGGGGTCGGAGGACAGCTCTGCTATCAGTCGGCTGTTGGGTACTTTCTCGCTGGGGAAGGATCTGACGTCTCCTTCCCCCGCTTCTTCCTCTCCCTCCCCTGCCAGAGATCTCCTTTGTTTATTCGTGGATGGCTTGTAGGTGACTGTAATGTGCTAAAATCTTGAAGGTGGAAATGCTGTATCTTGGTCCATGATTAATGTCCCGAACCTCTTAAAAAATCAGAGTATATATACTATTAGGTTTTTGGTTTTTTTTTAGTGGAACCTCTGCTAGTCCAGTCTGGATAAATATGATTTACATTTTATCACTGCATTCTCAATTTACCTCTGAAAGGACACATTTATTTTGACCTATACATTTTTGGCTGAAATTTATATGAAGCCCTTTTACTTTCCTCATGTGAGCATTTTGAAAACTTTCCTTCTCTCAAATATATGAAGTAACTGGTGGTAGGAATTAGTGCTTGATTAAAGGTAACCTTTTCCCCCATTACTTCATTTGTTTGACCAAGCATCTACTCAGACTCATCTGTTCTATTCTTCGGGTATATATATATATGTGTGCTATATGCTACAACTATGATTTAGTTATTCAGCGTGTGTGTGTGTGTGTGTGTGTGTGTGTGTGTACAGGTGCAGTTAGTCTGAAAGTTTTATCACTGCACAAATACTTCTATCAAAAATAAGCAGTGGTATGCTAAATTCTAATAAGTAGTCAGGACTGTAATTAACAGAAGCCTAAGTATTTTGAGACAAAGACCCTTACCCCTTCCTTACCACCTCTAATCTGATTGGCCTAGGTAGACTTGTGTAAGTTCTATGTAGACTTATTTATTTTTTCTCTACAGGAAATTTTCTTACTTTCTTAATGTATTTCCTTTAGGTGAATCAAAAAGGATCCCAGGAGTCCTGTGAATGTTGTAGAAAATTCATCTGTGAATTTTTGATATTCAAGGAGTCAGTATTTATATTCATCTTTTAAGCTGGGAAGATTTATATTTTATTTTAAAACTTATTGATATTTACAATGAATGGACACAGTGATGAAGAAAGTGTTAGAAACAGTAGTGGAGAATCAAGGTAAGCACTTTATTATCAAGCATTTATTACTAAGAGAATTGGAAGACTTGTGTGACTTTAGTTTACCTAATAGGAGACAAGAGTTTTCAGATTCAGATTATTCCTCATAGCTATCCAAGTATTAAAAAGTTTCTCATACATGAAACTTTATTGATAGTACAGATTTTATTATTTTTTTTCCATGGAGATACATAAAGAATAAATGTAGAAAGTTTGGGTTACTTAAATCTGTTTGAGGGTTTATATTGTTTGAGTTAATGTTGAAGCTAGACCAAGTGAAAAGACACTTTTAAATTGATTTGAGTCTTACTAGTTCATTCTCGAAATAAAAGCAGTTTCTTTGTTCTTCATTTTCTGGAATTTTGTCTTCTATATCTGGTATAATATAGTAGCCACCAACTACACGTGGCTATTTAAGTTTCAATTAAGTAAAGTTACAAAGTATTGAAAACTCATTCACACTAGATACATTTCAAGTCCTGAATAGCTACATGTGGCTCCTGGCTACCAGAATGAACAGTATGGATAGAAAACATTTGTATCACTACAAAAGTTCTTTCTGACAATGCTGATCTGGACATGTGTTAAAGTATTGCTGTAACCCTTCCTACCCCGCCCTCCATTTTCTTTTCAACTTTGAGTTTTAATTATATATGAATGAGTTAAGAGTTCTTACTTGCACTATGTCTTTGCAAAAAAGGTATAATATAGTTTTAAGCCATATTAAGCTATTTTAATATATAAGAAACCTCTTTGAATACAAAGACTTTAGATTCTTATGTAGACCCCAAATCTTGAGTTATCTGCACATTAACAATACAATTCATGTAGTTATGTACACTTATCATTTGTAGAGATCAAGAGTATCAAGATTGTCATACTGCCTGATAACTCATCCTAGTTCTCCTTATTAGATATGTGAATTAGGGCAAAGTGTTTAACCTTTGAGACTTTGATTTTTGTACTTCAAGTGGGGATTACTGTATTATTTAAAGCTGAGGCTGAAGTGAAATGCTACTGTAAAGAGTTTGAAATAGTTTCTAATATAATGAACAGTATTTGCTTATAATTAGCATAATGTTTTATGTAACACAGGGCAGTACATAACTGAAACATTAATTACAGTGATACAGAGATTTGAAAGACAAGAAAGAAGAAATTTTTGATAGGATTTCAGAGAAAAATGTTGGATAGAAAATGAAGCAGTAGTATATGTACTTAACTTGAGACTTGGGATGTTCTAATCATGGTAGGTACATTTTATCAGCTTTCATAGGCAGACCATGTGCATAACAAGAACATCACAGAAAAAGGAGCAGTTAAAGGAAAACAGCCTGATTAGGTGGGCAAGTATAAGAATTACAAACCTAAGTTGACACATTTCTGTACTAACTAGTTTTCTGAATGATTTCTCAACTGTAAAATAAGAATTGAACAAAATTTCATCCTATCACTTAATTTACAAAGTGTAGTAAGGTTTTGGACAGCAAAGTTGGACTAGCGTCACCACAATTGAGAGGGTAAATTAGAAGAATTTTGAATTCAGCTTTGATTCAAATCTTTACAGGTATACTGACTGTAGTAAGTGAATAGGAGAGTCACATTTGCCACATTCTCTTATTCATTAGCAATGAAATGGATAATAGGTGAAATGTCTAGGGGAAACACTGGAACTAAACTACCCACAAAATAAGACTCTAGGGACTAAATCATCTATTGGAATATACAGAGGTCAGGTGCTGTTATATTCTGACCCCTTACCTGTTCCAATAATCTTTCATGTATTTGGCTGCCATATCTAAAAACAAAGGGGATTAGTATGTCAAATTTGATAGTGTAGGTGAAAAAAATTAAACCTTATGAAATTAAATTGACTTAAAGGAATCTTTTACAATGCACACTCATTTTAAATATTTGCAAAGCACATTTTCTAATAATTCTGAGTCATGATTTCTACCATACAGGTTTTATGTGTTTCTGAGAAGTGTGGTTGTTATCTAGTTCTTGCAACTGCCTTGGTATTTATCAGAAGGGAGACCTGCTTCTATTTTGCTTTCATTTTCTTCTTTACTGCTGTTTTGCTGTCCTTTCCCTTTGCTCTGCTGTCATTGTTAATAACTCTAAAACGTTCCACCTAACCCCCAACCTCAAGCTTTCTTTCATAACAAGGCAGTATGAAGAAGAGAGATTGGGTACAAAAGGGTGAGGAGGTGAATTTTATAGATACCGGGATTTTCTCACAAAGGTTACCATAACTATGAATATCAATATAAGTGATGAGAAGAGAAATATGATCTGCTTTTAAAACTGATACACATCATAGTTAAGTAAAACTTGACTTTTATTGGCTAGAATTTTTAAATGTGTTTTTGCTTCTGATTTTTCTTTGTGCAAGTTTACAAAATGAAGTAGAATTAAGCAAAAAGTCATTGACATTTTTGGTTGGTATAATTAGCTTTGTAGTGAAAAATGTTTTTTAGTTCTTTCCTTGTGGAAAGCTCTCTATAACCATTAACTGAAATTAAGAAGAATACAGAGGAAAGTGTGTCTTTGGCTGTGCTGTAACTGACAGTTTTGAAACTTATTTACTAAGAAATGTGGGTCAGGTTGCACCTGTACATAAATTTCAACTGAGCACAAAGTTTTTTATTTAGTTAAAGTTACACTTTCTAAAGATACTATTAAAAAAATTCAAAGCATCAATTTCCAGCTGTGTGGATTTGTTGTTAATTTGCGATTGCTTTTTCAAATTCTGGTTAAGACATGTTTTATTTTAAAGTTGTCTTGAATGATTATTTACTCTAAGAATAGATTAATGGGTAAAAATCAGAAATATATGGTCACATTTTGCTAATTTGGGGATGACTGATGCATGCTTTAATACTCAGAAGAATTTCTCTGCTTGCCTGTAGGTTTTTTCAATGATGTGAGTTTGTATAAATCTGAGAATTTATTTGAATCCTTGAATTATTAAGCTCTTGAAAAAATCTTACAGAGTGAGGGAAATAGTTCATGATGTGCTGTAATGGTCTTAACCATTTAGAATTAAAATCTGTCGCTGACAAGAGCTTTGTTGACCTGATTCTTAGAATTATTTTCATTATAGCTTTTATAGCATTAATGATGCTTGATTTAATATATTTATATATTTTAAATATATGTGTGTGTATATTTTATACTTAGAGGAACTCTATGTTGCACTTAAATGTCCTTGGTTATAGAAAATATTTTAATTATCGTTTTATGCTTCAAGAATATTTAGATCTCAACTTTTAAAGTGTTTTGGGTAGGTGGTGAATAGGAAATGCAATCAACAACAAAAAAATAAGACTCTCTTTTTTAGAAATTCAGAGTCTTTAAAAAAAGGCTTTGTAAATGCTTTAAGAAGCCACATAGACTAAATAACCTGTAAAATTTAAGGAACACTAAGTCAAAGTTAATTTGAACACAGGCCATATTTTCCACCAAACATCTGTAAAGTGTCCTGTTGAATACTACTATGGTATACCATTTTTGGAAATATTGCATTTATGTATACACATACCAGAAATATTTCTTCCCATCAAAACTAGTTAGCTTCCTTCAGTAAATGAATTTGAACTATTTTTAAAGGCAATACAAGTTAAATGGTGAGCTTTGCTGTTAGTCTTCCCAAAAAAATCTGTTAATTCCTAAATTTCAAAAATTTGTACTAAGAAGCATTTTAAAGAAGATACGAAAATGTGAAACAAAGCTAGAGTGGCTGGAAATTATCACATTAAGGAAACTGGCTTTTAACATTTCCTGTGATGTCATTGATTGTAGGAAAGTATAACTTTCACATCTCATTTTTTATTAATCCTTATTTCTCAGTTCAGTATGTGCTTTCTTCATCTTTTCCTATTTTTTTCTTTCCTCAAATTGCTACACATACTACTGCATCTAAGGTAATTTTTTAGGCTTTGAAAACTCAATGAAAGTAGGAGCATCAGTAATTGGTTACTCTATCTTTAAATACAATTTGCCAATTAAAAGCTCACAGAATTTCCAAGAATTGTGGTTAATCTAGATTACTATAAAGTAGTTCGACTTAATTTTAACTGGTAGGGTTAAGAAAATTGTGTATGACTTGTCTTTCAAAGACATTTCTTTCACCTGTGTAAGCATGAGATAGTGTGGGGGCAAACAGTAATGTGTAGCTGCCCCATTTACACACTTAAGCTGTTGGTGCTTCTTTAAGATCTCAGTGACTGGTGAGTTACATCTGGCAAAAATAAGAGTGTTTCTTTGTGGTGAAGAAATAAAGAATAGATGGAAAGAACTTTTCTCTTCCGCTTCTTAATAGAAAATTTAAGAACATAAAGAATTAGAAAAGTAGCAAGTCCCATTGTGATCCTTGGGAGCGTTTTCTAAACATACAACTTTGAACCCCTCCCCAGTCCTACTAAATCAGGATCTTGACTTTTAACAAGATTCCCAAATGATTCGTATTCATATTAAATTCATACACATATATATAAAGCTTTTTGCCTAGAGTCTTACAGCCCCTTGCCACTTTTTTCATTATGCATGCTTTTTATTTTCTGGGAATGCCCAAAGAACTGTTATACCCTATGCCATTAAGAGGCTGGGTACCTTTCATTTCTGTAGGAACAATGATAATGGCAACCTATAATTGTTGAACTCTTAACTCTGAGCCTGATAGGGTGCATATAGTGCATGTTATATTACATGAGTTTATCACAGTTCATCTTCACAAAACTGTGATGTATGCAGTTTTGTGATTCCCACTCTTCAGAAGGGGAAACCAGATTTATAGCCATTAAAAAAAATCTATTTAAAAAACTATTAACTAAATTCCAGACTTTACTGAGATTGCAGTGAATGCCCTCTTCCTGTTCTCATTTTCCATCCTGGGTACCATTTTGTATTTAATTGTCCTTTCTTTGTATATCAACTATACTTCAATTTTTTTTTAATTAATCCAAAAAAAAAAAAAAAGAAATCAACAAAATACAATT